GCTATTGTGTGGGGGGCGAGCCAGTCTGGGAGACCTGTCCACATCATCATGACAATAAGTCAAGTGAACTGTTAATTCTCCATCTGGAGGGCTGGAAAAAAAAGAGGAAAAGTCTAGACAAAAGCATTCCTCCCTTCCTGCCGTCCATCCCTCTGATTAAGAACCCGTTTCATAAGCGCCTCGTGTTGACTCGGGTTTTGCTCTCCTGGCTCTCCGCTCACGAAACTCTCATTAGGCCTCTGCTCTCTTGTCTCGTTTTCCACCTTTAACCGAAACGAGTATCCCCCGTTTTTTAATTAAAGCGAGGATCGTGTGAGGAAATATCCCCCCTCTTTTCAGCTCCTAAATATTTATTCTACATCGATCTGCTGGTCTGAAGCTAAAGGAGAGGAGCGGTTACAGTTCTCCAGCTGGAACTGGGACATTTTCGCTCTGTTGCAGCAACAGAAACATGACACACACAGTGAGAGTGAGAGCTGTAAGAGGATTTCACTCGTAACACTCGGTCCAACGAATGCTTTATTCGGTCAACTGGTTCCCAAAACGAGGAGAGAAATCTCTGAAATAAACAACAGAAGTTGAAGTTGTCAAATTCTTTAAAGATCCATAAATCTGTACTAATCGCTGCTTTAACTCTAGAACCAAAAACATGAATCCTGTTTCCAAACAGCTCCTTTTTGGTCTGTGTCTGTGTGTGTGTGTGTGTGGGGGGGGGCTCTGTGTGAGGAAGTCACGTGGATCTGACGCGCCACAACACAAGCCCCCCGCCGGACGCATGTGGGTCAAAGGTCAGCGGTGGTGCGCTGGAGTGTGGGGGAGGGGGGAGGGGCCAGAAATAGCCCGCCGACCCGAGCTGGTGGCCGGTAACGGCCGCACGGAGGCCGTTCCTCACTTCCTGTGCAGGGTTTGAAGGCAACGGCTGGAGGAGGGGGCGGGGGGGGGACAAACCTCCTCTTTCAGTTTGCTTCCTGTGAGGGAACGTCACCAGCAACAAATACTCGGACAAAAAATAAATAAAAACACAAAAAAAAACAACTAAAATGAACCTCATGGTGGCACTAGAGTAAAGGTTAGCTGCTCCCCCAGGCCCACACTGGACAACAGCTGGCAAAATGTCCCCACAGAGCATGTAAAGGGACTAAGACTAAGACTAAGGAACTAAGACTAAGGACTAAGAATAAGTCCGTCCAGCAGAGACGGATCCTCTGTTTGTTTAAAGACTTAAAACAGCCAGAAAAACAGAAAGAGCCCCCAGTTTCTCAGCTTCTTTTATTTAGGATTCACCTCGGAGAAGTCTTGACAGACGAGAGCGTAACAACAGCCTGCGCGATGAGATCACGGCTCGTTTTGTTAGCGCGCGTGTGTGTGTGTGTGTGTGTGTGTGTGTGTGTGTGCTGACCCGGTGCAGCTGTGCAGTGTGGGACCTCTGCCAAACCCCTAACAGACAATTACCCCACTGTGTGTGTGTGTGTGTGTCTGACAGCCCCACAGAGGAGAGTGCATCACCAGAGCTGCCTGTCTGCTCCTGGATGTGACCAGACTTTAACATGGTGAGCAGCTGCACGCAGTGGGCCCTCTTAAAGGGACAGGCGCACATTTTTTGCCTATTTTCCTTGAGAACTAGCTGTTGTTTGTTTCCTTTCCTCTTTAGACTGTACAGTTGTCTTAATGTGAGCCCTTTTTAACCCAGTTAATGGAGAGGGATAATCGTTACGGCACTCTTTGTGCTTTGTGGCATTCAAAATATTTCTTTAGTATATTTTTATAAGCTTAGAGGTAAAATAAAGGTTTTAATGTAGCTTCTATTTGCCCACAGATGACGACAAAATACGTTTTTCAAACTCAGTGAAGCCGGCCAGCGGACAGCTTTAAGCTAGGTGGTTCAAAAGTTTACAAACGGACCAGTATGTGTGGGATTCACCGAGTCTGGAAGCTTCTGGAAAGAGAAGCATGGCCAGAGAATGCCAAAGAACGGCGAGCCACTAAACGGCCGAGCCGTCCTGTCCGTTGGGTCCCCTGTCTGGGTCAGAGAGGGAAACTGTGGGATGTCGAAATGACTGGGAGAACTTTCCGGGCCTTTAGCAGAATGAAAAAAACAGCTCTTTGCCGTTAGCTACCGTAGCTACCGTAGCTACGTAGCTCCTGAGGTGTGTGTTTAAAAACGGCCGTGGTGGGCAGAAGGCGTGGTCCCTCCCCTCCCTGGCACGCCACGCCGGCTTTTCCATGCCCACCTCGCTTTGATGTGGCCGACAGCCTCTGGACACACACACACACCACACACACACACACACACACACACACACACAGGAAAGCCCCTTCGGCTCCCGAAACACGTCTGCCACGTGTGCCGTGCGTCCAGGGCCAGAATAAAGTGTGTGTGAGGCCCGATAATTCAAAGGTTAACGTGCCTCTGGCTCTGGGCAGATTGATCGGAACCCTCCGGGTGCCCGGGCGCTCGATCAGTGGCCATTTTTTATTTCTCTTTAAAGGAACAACAGAAAAGCCGGCGGGCCTCCGTCGTTGAGCATAATACCGACAATTACAAAGAAAAGAAAGGAAAAGACGAAGGCTTGAAATGCCACAGAGGATGGCTTCACTGCTCTGAAGGTCCTTAAAAGAGTTGTTTCTCTTTTTTACAAATACCTCCACTCCAGACAGGAGTTTCAAATTAGAGCTGGAAGTGTGTGCATGCTATCAGGCCCCACAGAACACTTTTTACTGGCAGAACCAAGAAAACATTCAACAGCAGAGCCTGAAAATGACCCAAAATCAGCTGCTCTCCGTGAAGGGAAACGCAGAATCTGATGCACAGGAAGCAAAGTGCCTTTAAAACAGGTGCACACAGCGGCCTCCTCCCATCCGACCCCCAGCTATTGTATGCTGAAGCACCCAAAATCTTCAGAATCGACATTTTCATGAGGATTTTGGTGAAGTTCATTCATCTTTCTAGAGAATATATTTTGTGCCTTTATGCAGGATTAAACACAGAGGCTTAAAACTGAGAAAGAGTATCAACATTATTGATTTTATCTGACCAAAAACAAACACGTGATTCATCTATTTAACTGCTCTGAACAGACGGGGACTCAAAATCCAGAGGTTTTCAAAAAGTTATCCTAAACTTTTCCTATTTCAGACTCAACCAACAAAGACTGAAGTAGAATATAGAAACGAATACAACCATAATAATAAAAGTACATCGGAGTAGCTCAATTTCAATGAGTCCATTCAGATCTAAAGATTCCAGCTAAGTCTTAAAACAGGGTCGTGGCATTAGAAAAATCTTCAGATTTGTTAAGTAGAATAATTTCTGGCCTCTGAATCCACCCTGTGTGTGTCCCTGGGTGTGTGTCCCTGAGTGTGCGTCCCTGGGTGTGTGTCCCTGGGTGTGTGTCCCTGAGTGTGTGTCCCTGAGTGTGCGTTTAGGGGCGTGCCCTGACTCATGGTGTGTAATGAGTCCGGGTGGACAGGGGGGGGCAGTACACCGGGGGCATTACGTAACATTCTCAGCTCTGATCTGTGGATTTCTGCAGCTGCCTGGAGGGAGGAAACAAGGAAAAGGAAAAAAAAAAAAAACTTCAGTGCGCTTCTGCCCGTCGTCTTACGTCCAATCACGTGGAGCTCATCAGGGAAACCACCCCGGAGAGCCGCCATGGACCGAGCCGACTCTAACGCAAAACCACTACCGGCCACAGGACGCCTGCTCTTTATCTCTAAGCCCTACTTCCCCATTTCCACCCGGCAGAGCTCTCAGAGCTCAGGCCTCTCCATGCGTCCCTGCTCTCTGTTTCTTTTGTCCATTGGAAGGGTCAGAGGTCAGAGGGTTAGCCAAAGAAAATGCCCTCCTACTGCCTTCCCTTAAGCTCCTTCCCTGGTCCCTGTTGGGACATTGAGGGGTTACAGAAGCATGGCGGGAGGCCTGAGTCATCGCATGGGGCCGCACGTGTTCAGGAAAAGGCAAAAGAAAAGCTCGTTTAGCACGACGTTAGCCGACCAATGCCGTCTGAGGAGACCTTTCTGTTTTAACCCTTTAACAGCTACACTTAAAAAGAACCAGAATCACTTCCGGTATGCTAAAATTGTGAAAGTTTGGGCATCGCACACCCAGTTTTCTAACGGTAAACCAGCGGAAAACAGGCTCCGGCTAAAGGCAGAGCAGGATGCTAGCTGCTAATCAGAAAGCTAATCAGAGCCGAGCCCCAGTGGGATCTCCAGGCCCCCCCGGGGCTTCTCCGGCTCTCTCTTCAGAGG